ATGTTCTGGAGTTGGATTTGACACCACATAAGCACCGATATCATTCTTCAGAACAGGCGTTTGCTGAGGTATCAACGGATACACCCAAGGACCGACCTGAAGTACTCTTATTAACCTAGCACGGAGATTCGATCACAAAAAAGAATCACCGAGCGATTTGGTTCATCAGAATGAACAGTGAGAAATGTTTCTGATTTCTGGACTGAAATTTCATTGTAGAATCTTGAATTCGAACGATGAATTACAAATAAAATGCTGAGCTCTGGTGTTTGGATCAGATGGAATTCGGAAATCGAGAATGCACTCGAATTGACCGATTGATACCTTTATGAAAGCTTCAGCCTGTACGTCGTTCGTCAATTTTGTCTGTTTGTTGAAACGGAAAATCTCCAGAGGACACGGATAAGTGGGAACAGATGTTGAATCACCCTTAAGTACGATCAAAATTACTAAACACTTCACATTCAAAGTTGTTCATTTCGATTCGAAAGCAACTGCGAAGTCAGTGTTGAAAAATTCAATTTACAAATATTCCTCCGTAACACTGCAAAGCAATCGTCCTTTATACGGTTCGAATCGTCAGTCATTTGCTTCCATCGTATGAGTGATTAAATGCATGGCGATAAGCTCAAAATCGTAAGTTAAAATTACGAAAATTATTCGACAGTATGCGACATAATTCTGGAAGAATTCGCATTTGTTTCATGATTACCTCTATAATGAACAACTGAACACCGTCTGGTATGAAGAACACTAGCTCTGCTTCACCTTCATTGATGGACTCCAATTGTTCTCGTAGTTCATGTTTAACCTTAACTGTACGTACTTTCACTGTTGATCAGTAAGGAGGATACGAAATATCTTATTATACTTATCTAGTGGCTACATCAATAGCAAGGATTCATGTTTTTGTTTTTTTAAGATGAGATAGTTTTCAACAATTTTTGAAAAAGTCTCGAAATGTGAAACAAATCAAGGAAGTTACTGGAACATCTAGCACAGTTCTGTTGAAGATCGAAACTGATTGCGCTTAATTTCAAGCGAACAGGGATGGTATGACATGCTCAGGAGTGGTTTGCTTGTGCATGAAACTGAAACTTAGCCGAAACAAATGCTTAGGTCATAGCTAAACAATTGAGGTTCAGTTGGTCTTCAATGCCCTCGATGACTAGTCAGGCTGATGCACGGAGAACCAAAAATTTACGTCTTCATCGCCGATGGAAGCTTTGTCCACCATTACCCACTCGTCGGGCTTCTCCTTTTCTGGCTCTGTCAACGATCGTTTCAACTGTGTAGGTGTTTTTTCCTTTTTCAACTTCTTCAAACGTTTTTCGACTCGCTTTCCTGACGTACAAATTTCCTTATACAATGCACTCTTCTTCGCATTTTTGCCCAATTCAGCCTCTTTAACTAGATTCAAGCCACGTTCGTAGATGATGATCGCATTCTCCTGAAAATTCAATGCTTCTCACTTCTGATGAGGCCTTAGATTCACAGATGCTTGTGTGTATCGATAATATCCATGAGAGCTCTTTGAAACGTTCATTCTCAAACATTTGATTGCAGCAGCCCAAGCCAAAGAAATTCAAGCTGAATGGGTCACATCTCACCACTTCACCTCAAAATCGGACATCCAAAGGCAGTCAGTCAACGAATTCGAATCGCTCGGAAACCCGAAAATTACAAATGAAACTGCCTGACTGCAACTGCCGATCAGCTGGTCGCAATGAAGGCTCTATTGTACGATTGCCATCATTCTTGTACGAGAAAATGAAAATCGGTTGTTTGAGAAATATTTTAGTGGCAAAAAAATTAGTTTTGTAGGATAAAGACCTAATTTGAAATCTCACATAATCGTTGATTTCATCATAGCATAGACCCTGTTCGAAACATGCGAATGCCTCCGCGAAGAGATCATCAATGTTTGGTGAGCACGACGTCATCGTCACGATGTTAGTAGTNATGATATTCGAAATCAATAATAATCAAATCACAATCAAACGTGTTGCCGTTGACTACGACTCAATTGAACGCGATTAGTTTAGCATAAATGTTTCGCGTGACTCGTAAACATCAAACTGTGAGAAAATTTTTGTTCTAGATGAAATTTCTAGGCAGTGCTTATGGAGAGCCACTAAACTAAAGAAGTGGGTATGCTTGGACGGATAACACAAAGCAGAGATCACTGATGTTAAGTTATTAAAACAAGACAAAAAGCTGTTTGAACAGCTGGATGAGCCGATATAGAGCGATGAATGGGTAGTAAATTTGCATGTGCCACACACTAGCAACTGACTGAATAATTTCATGAAATATAGCATACTAACTAGCTCTTGTTATGATTCATCGTGTTTCTGTTTGCCTCGCATGTCCAAACACTCTTTACTTGTTTTGTTTTTTGATGGTGTTTTCTTCGACGTCACTCGGAAATCATGTGATGAACGTATCGAGCTATTACTTTTGTTTGTTATTTCTTATAGTTAGATTTCTTCACTGAACGCATAATAATGCGATAAACTTTGCTCACGAAACGAACTTTTGTTTTTGCTGATAATGAGGAAATCTTTCAAAACACTTTCAGATTTCTTTTCTCTCGTTACACAAATTTTCTTTCCGTTTCTTTGACGACACACAGTCACAATAAATACATGAGTATTTGGGCAAGTGTGCTCTAAATTGTTTCACATTATCAGTCGAATGCATTTCACATTATCGTGTTGTGTAAGACGTAAACGTTGAGCGCTCGTTGTTGAATTCTCTGATATTTTCGATTTGAATCGTTACGTTAATCACAATTACGTATCTATCGTTCGTGACATCGTTACGTGTGCGTTACGATACAGGTATATTGAACACGTCAGCATACAAGTACCCAACACTATTTTCAGTTCTCTTATCAGTTATCATTTTTGTTTTATCATTACTCTCCTCGAATTTTTTTAGTCATTCTCACGATCCACGTCACAAAAACCAGCAATTTTTCAAGCATGAAAATTTGACAGTTCCATCGCTTTTCTGTTTATTTATATTATGACTAACATATCTCCCTCCTTCTGTATACTGCTCAATAATAGTCAAATAATTGGAGGTGTAAATATTCATTCAAAAAAAATTTATTTCCATCATTTTTTTGTTAATTTATATTATGACTAACATATGTCCTTCTCGTATATTGCTCAATAATAAATATTGCTTGAAACTCCTTAAAACTTTGAAACTAATAAATATTGTTTGGAAGTGTAAATATTCATTCAAAAAAAAATTTTTGAAACTTTAATTCTTGTGAACTCACTGTATAACTTTTGCGATCAAATTTTTTCAAGCCCCAGTCAAGGGTTCAGGTCATTCTCGCTAAAAGCAACTTTTGCGCGAAACTGGAACATAACTGCTCAGTTAACAAAAACTATGAGAGAAAATGCCGATTAACCGTTTATTTTACGATAAATTAAAATTGCGCACATCAATATGGAGTGAATATGATGATGCTGGTGTATAACATGAAAAGGTGCGCAGCGAATAGAGTGGGCTTGTTTATATGGACACGTTTCATCAGGGTTGCATAAGTCTTTTTTCAAGTTTTCCCCTTCGCTTACCTTGATAATATAATTACTGCTCCATTTCACCAACACACTGTCTTCTGTGTATTTGTCTATCTCCTTATAACGCACACCCTTCTTTATATAGAAACGACAAACTCTTTCTACTTAAGTGTCGTCGTTTTAAATTGCTGTTGCTGCAAGATGGTGAACGATGCTATAGCATTCATCAATCCCTTATGATGATGATGATCATTCCTCCAACTCATCACCTAAACAAGAGTTCGTAATTTCTCGAAAGTTTCTCTCTTCATCCAATTCCCATTTCTTCATTCNTAAACTATCATTTGCCCGGCCGGCATTTAGATTTCATTTTCATTGATACGGGATGTAGCAACTGCCATTTAAAATGCCATTTTTTACCTTACAATCAATGAATTTTCAAGATGTGACCTGATTTTGAGAATGAGTTTAATTTCTTAATTTCGCCATCGCATCAGTTTCGTATATCTTTATATTTTGTGCTTTGCATTGATTTGGTGGAATGTTATTTTTTCGTTTCAATTTATTAACAGTGTATTTTCGTGT